TCCCTTTGCTCCCTCGATGAAACGAACTCTCGGTCGTCGAGAATGGACGCGAGCAGGGGCGCTATACCCAAGAGGATATGCGGTAATACGGCGAGAAGCAGGGTGATCGCGAATCCCATGTCGGACGAGGGGGACGGTTTCGCGGCAGACACGAACGCGTACTTCTGTCTGAAGTCGATTCTCAAGCAGAACAAACGAAGGTACACCCTGATCACAGCGAGGGAGCTTCAAAATTTGTCGGATGGGGAAGAGGAGGAGGAGGAGGGGGGCGGAGGTAGACGTTCGAAGAATCGGGCCTCGTATCACGAGGGTTGCGCCCCGACGCGCCCCGTTTTCCCCAAAACCAACGTCGGGGAGAAAAGATCGTTCGATCTTTCGTTCTCGAGATCGAGGGAGAGCCTGGACGGGAGGGGAAGGAGGAGGAAACAATTGTTGGAGAACGAAGCGTCGACGGGCGAGAAGGGCGAGGAATGGAAGGAACGGGGGAGCAACAGGTAAGTTTTCTGAAAAAATTTTTCGAACGATACTTCTTTTTTCGTTTCGAATTCTCGAGCGAAAAATGGGACGAAATCGCGAGCAGTTTCTTCCGTGCGATTCTGTTCGATTCAGAACTCTGATATTCGCGAGCCCGATACAAGAGGTCTGCCCAGGCGATCCTTTCGGAGGGAAGGACGTGGTTCGAACGCGGCAGGAAGTGGACTCAACCCCGACCGAGGAGGCGCCGAATCAGACAGTCCTCGGCCAGCTTGGACGATCCCTCGCGTGCGATCGAAGATCGTCCCGCCGCCGATTCCAAGATTGCCGCAGACACCGTTACTCGGACACCTCTTGCCCCCCTTCTTTCTTCTCCTGCCCGCCCGATCGCCAGCATCCCTATCCGTACGCCTTCTCCGCGTCCACGGACGCGGTGGACGCGATACGGTTCACCGCCAAACAGAACCAAACTCGTGCCGTGTACCGACACGGGACGTCGTTCCCCCCTTACGAGGGCTCGATGGACGGAACGAGCCGCGGCGAGAAATGCGCGGATCAAACGGTGGACGATGTTTCACCGGTGAACGGGTCGTGCGGATCCTCGAGCAAGGGGCAATTGCAACGCTCGTTGACGGAAAGGCGAACGAGATCGGTCAGAAACGAGGCGAATTTCCGTCGAAGTTTCACGGGAAGGGTGGAGGATTACAGAGGGGAGAACAACAACAAGTGGGCGAATCTGAATATGGAGACGTCGTTGTAACCAGGGAGATGGAAGGGAGATGATTGAATTTGTAAATATCCGTCCTGCCACATTTTCAACATCCTGTACATACACCGTAATAATTGCACATTTTACACGGCCCGCCTTCGCTTCGAGCGTGTGATCTCGGACGAAAGATCGATTGATATTTCTTTCTTTCTTTATAGAGATAGAGAAAAAAAAATTCGAGCGTGTAACGCTGTCGATGTTGCCAATATCGTGTCTCATTTGGATTTTTAAAGAAAAAAACTTCTCTAAACGTCGTGATAAAATTTATAATTGAGCCAGCGTCAATTATACGACGGGGTTATATGTATTTATATATATATATGTGCGTCGTCGGTTGGATCCGCGATCGTGAGGAGAGATTTTAAAAGAGAAAGAGATATAAAGAGGAACGAATGATAATTGGAGGATTTTTAATCGATTGTATTAAACGATAACACAATTTGTGCCGATGTTCGTGGAGTTTAGATTCGATCTTTGAATATCGTATTATTCTATAATTCTTCTCGAATAAAGTATTTCGATCCTTGTTTCGATAGGGTGACATTAAACTAATTAATAATTGCTCGTTACGTAAAGTAATGGAATAATATCGAGATAGGTAAATATTTCGACTGAGCATGCGTATTTCGAAAGAGGCGCCACCTATCACTCGAGGCATTCTAATTCTTGCAAAGCGTCAAGCGCAAAAACAATTCGTGAATGAATGCAATCGTTCGTAAAGAGAACTTTCGCTCAAATATAAACGAAGAAAATACGTAGATTTTACAAGCAAAATAGAAATAAATCGAAAAGAAAAAATCCGTTCCGAAAAACGATTGAAAGTCTTCGCTTCTCCGTGCAAATAAAATTTCGAAAAAAAAAAAAAATATATAAGTATATATACATATATATATATATATTTTTGTCTACATGTTTGCTCGCTGCAACAGAGAAGAAAGAAGCTATGCGTAATTCTGATCGTTTTTACCGGTCTCTCGATATTTTGATCGAGAACTTTGTATTTATCATACGATATACATACACACATGCATACATATATACATACATACATACATATATACATATATAATTATTATATATAATTATTATAATATTATAATATATAATTATTATAATATTAACGCGAGGAAACAAAGCGCATTGTTAATGCTTTTAGGAGGATATTTTTCATATACTTGAATAATGTGTATCGATGCCAATTGCTGATCGTGATAATCATTAATAGAAATTACTATATATTAAAGAAAAAAAAAATTAAAGGTCGTGGTATAATTAGGATTCTAAAAAAGAAAAAAAATGAATGTTTTTTCTACTCAATTTATGGATGGAACATTGTTCCATTCTCTATGAATTAAAAAATTGAATATATGTATCTTTGAAACATCATTTAATCGTGTTTATATAAAAAGTATTACTTGATACTTACATGATTAATTGGTAGAAAAAATTAATAACCTTAATTATACCATGATAATTTTTATCTAGTAAATTAATTGGGATTTTGAAATCTGTAATATATACATGTGTGTGTACGTGTAATTTTACACGATTATTCGCCGTCGACGGAAAGCAACATTAATTAAGTGCTACTTATCGCGATCTATTCAATATTAACTAAATCATTTGATAGAAAAGTGGACAATTTTTCTTCTAAATACGATTTCTTTCGAAGATAAAAAGGAATAGATAGAAAATATTATATACAGTTACATACAGTTATATACAAATTTCTGTTTCTAGATATGTAACTTTATCGTTTATTAGTCAAAAAAACGTTTATTCGTCAAAAAAAACGTTTATTCGAATGGATTGAAATTCATTAGTGCGTCGTAAGTATATACAATAAGAAAATTCGAACATCGGTTAATTATTGTATTTGTACTTACCAATTCTGGTTGCTAAATCGGGAGAAAAACGACAAAATTTTATTCACAGCCATAAAATTCTTGTCCAAGTAACAAAATCTTCCATAAAACTATAAAAGTTTTCACAAAATCACGAAAATTTTTCCGATTTTTGACACTTCCGAATTACACGATGTACGCACATTCGCCTTTCAAACTATTAAACGAGAATCGTAAGCGCGATTCGATAATCGCAAATAATAGAACTTGCCGTCATTTTAGCGCGAAATTCAAACGAACGAAAGCATAGCTGAATCGTCATAGAAAGTAGGCTTGTTGCAACTTGTTGAATGACGATTGACGAAGCATGTGATAATTGATTTCGATATTCATGATATGTAAATGTTAAGGCATCTCAGGATAACGCGTGTAATTACTTTTCGAGTTTAATATAAACAACATATGACAAATTTTTTGCTCCGCATACGGTAGAATGTTCGATAAGCACATCTGACCAAAATCAACCGTAAAGAGGCACTTTCCATAACAGAGAATATTACAACTAAGTAAGTAATATTGTAATTAAACACAAAATATTTAAAAAAAAGAGTTACATTTTTTGCAATTTGATACGATAAAATAAAAATATAAATAAAATTAATAATTAACGGCGAGTTAAATCACATCGTAGTAATTTTAATGATAAATGATTTTATTTAATAGGATGCACATTGACTAGCATCAAAATTGAATGTTACAATTTGAAAGTGTCTCTTACAACGAACTACTCTAGCCTTCAACGTTTATAAAATTCATCGATCTATAGTTTTAATAGTGGCAGATCTAGGCTTTAAGATAATCGACGAAAAATATGTGAATAAACATTGATTACATAAGTACGAATAATCGAATCGTGTTTATTCTTAAACACGAATCGAAATTTACTTCGTTACAAATCGAATAAAATATTTCGATTAAAAAAATAATACGAAAATTTGGCTATCGCGAAATTGTATGAGTACATTTTCAGATTATTGCTTGATGTTGATGCGAATACATTCGTAATTAAAAAAACGAGGTGTAACACAATTCTCATTGCCGTACAATATTTAAGAACAAAAACATACTCATGCCGTCTTAAAAAGTGCTCTTCTAAATAAAAAATTGTTTAATATACGGCGAATTGTCCATTATTGCGATAATTGAGAACGTGTTTATATGCGATACATACACGCATATTCGTTTGCGTAAGAAGCCTGTAATTATATACTGCTACGTATGTAACTATTATAATTATTATTAACGACGATATACAATTCATTCTTGTAAAAACAAAAAAAAAAAAAAAAAAAAAAAA